ATTGGCTAACTATTTAAAAAAAAAAATTTACCAAGTAAAGTGCTCAAGTGGTTTTCTGTAGCTGCCACCAGCATCCTTTTAAAAGGTAACCTGCTCTGTAAATTACTTTAACTAAATCAATGTGCATCTGTTATCTGTCAGGCCAAATGAAGTGCTAGATTTCTCTGGATGTCTCATTACCGATCTCCAGGGCGAAGCTGACACGTAGATCCACATCCTCAGCCCACACATCATTAGCAGGTTTGGTGTAGAGGATGGGGATGATGCCACGATACAGGTGCAGCTGCCGGGCTGTCTGGCCGTTACGGGTCACAGCCATGATTGAAGCACGTGGCCTGTATCTGGACAGCAGCTGGGCAGACCTGAGGAGACAAAGGCAGGGTGACAAAAAATATTAAGACAGAATTATTATAGGTCGGCACAAAATATTAAAACTTTATTATACAAATAATAATAATGATAAGTTACTTGATTCTTAATATTAATATTAATAATTATAATGAGTCAAGGATAAGATGAGCACTAATGTTACCTAGGATTGTCATTGTTAATAGAACATGACTGTGTTTCATTGTTTTCATGAAGCATGTATTTTAATAGTTTAATATGTAACACAATATAAATGTATATATATATATATATATATTTAAAAGTAACCACAATAATAATAATTGTAATCATTTGTATTATTGTTAGGAAATATTAGGTAATAATAAGAATTATTATTATTAATAACAACATTCTAATTAATGTTATAATAATATTTCCATTGCTAGTAAAACATGACTGTTTTCACAAAGCATGTAAAACACAAACACAGACACACACATATATATATATATATAGCTAGTATATGGGGGTAGAATTGTTGCTTAATTCCAAATAAATAGATTATGATCCACAAATAAATAGAATGAGATCCACAAATAAATCTTAAAGTTTCACAAACATGAATTAAATTCACAAATAAATAAAATTAGATTTGCAAATAAAAAACATATTCACAAATATATATTTATGTCACAACCACAACTTTGCCTGGCATTTATTTGTGAATCGCGTCCTGTGCATTTGTAGATAGC